GGAGAGGTGATTGGGTGATTGAGGAATATGAAAAAATTCAAGTAAACAAAAGGCCCACTCACATGCAAAGGATTAATAAGTCAATACTTTCAGTTGCTATCACCTTTTTTTTATTTCATTTCTAAAGTCACATTCGACTTTTTTTGTAAAAGAAAGAAAGACCAAAAGTATTTTCCTCTCAAAACCTCACATATCTCAATCACTTATAAATTGTTTGTATCCTCTTTGCTTATAGAAATCGGCATGTCCTCTGTAATAACCACAGCGTTCTTGTTTTAGACTTAGTAGATGGATATAGAGGCTGAGCTAGAACACGGCCTACGGATTCAGCTGAACCCAATAAATTTTGTTCATACCATAAGTGGAATCGGCTATTTGAGGATTCATCATAACTTATTTGGAATTGAAATATAGTTGTTATCGAAAAAAGTAGTGGTTTTAGGATTCATCATAACTTGTTTGGAATGAAGATGTAGTTGAGATGTAGTTGTTATCAGAAAAGAGCAATGTATTGGAGTGGGCCGCAACCAAATACTGGGTATGGATTGGGCCTGTGCGTCCCAATAGTAGGCCCAACATATACATTTTTTTTTAAATTCCCTCCGAACTCCCCTGCCTTGCTATTGGGGTGACTCGAACTCACAACCTTATTGGTTGGAAATGGAGGGTGCTCACCACTTGAGCAACCCACTCTTGTCAATATATACTGTTGAGAGATTACGTATAAATGGTCAATCATCTCCTTTTTGAATATGAGAGGAGAGAGAATACCCTGAAGAAGGAAAGGCCCGAGGAAGGATCGAACCTCATAAATGTAGAGTTCGAGCTCTATCAGTGAGCTCCCAACTCATTCCTCGTTTCGTTAAGTATTCACCATGTTTCCCAACGATCATAGTGTTGCTTGATGAATTGGCAATCTTCAATTTAGAGAATGCCATGATTTGAAAAGAACAAATAGCTAACTCGAATGAATTAAAAAGATTGTAAAGAACGAATAGCTAACTCGAATTAATGAAAAAATTAAACTGAGTTGTAATCCTATAGGGCATTAGGAGAGATTAAAGTCTCTACATATGCTAGTGTAACATATTTAGAGAAATAGTAGCCTTTATGCAGATCAACTTTAACTAGTTCAAGCCCATCAACTTCAACTTCTACAAATTTTCGTCTTTTTGAATCATAAACGTTGAATATTAACTCATCTATATCCTGCAAAATCAATATATCTAAATCCTTACTAAAAGCCAAAGGGTTGGTCCAACATATATAATTCCAGAAATCTATAGGATATGTAATTGCTAATATTTTACTCCATTTGCTCCTCATTCCATTCTTTTCCATACAGTACCAAACTTTACAATCTTGCATCTCATTAATACAGATTGAACAGATAGCCAAAATGTTTTCTCCCACAGTTAATACATCTGCCCCATCCGGATATAATATTTCTTCAAATTTTTCATTTTTCAAATCCAAACATTGAATAATCTCGTGGTCATGCTCAATTGTGATCAAATAAACAAATCCATCATCTACAACGATTTCTCCCCAAAAGCCATTGCACCGAGGTAACTTGCCAATCAGTTTCCACGAGTCAGTTTTAGTCGAAAATATTTGAACATAATAGCCATCTGATCTTGTTCTTACAACTCTAACTATTTTGTAATCCTGGAAAGAAGAAACATGGCCTAAACTATAGTAACTCTTACCCCAATTCGCATCAGAGATTGGACTAGGGATTATTCTTGATTCTCTGATGGTCGGGTTCCACAAAACAATTATGTCAGAAGAGAAGCATAGAAGAAATAAACCATTGCAAGAATTCACAAATACACAATCACTCGTAAATACTTCTTCCAATGTAAGTTCGAGTGCTGGGGGTGGAAGTTTAAGAACAGAGACAACAGAATCATGTTGAAGTGGAGCATCTATGGAGTAGCAGTCTTGGTAACACGACCTATACCAGCAAGCCAATAAGATTCTGTGACAATTTATATCACTTTGGCATCGGTCACGGTGTTGTTTGATGAATTGACGATCTTCAATTAGAGAACGCCATGATTTGCTAACAAGTTTGAACTTTACAAGTGATTTGACAGGAAGCTTTAGCAGTATATCGACGATGATATCATCGGGAAAGTTATTAGGCATTCTAACAGCTAAAAGATTTTGGGTTTGAGCTACTGTTTGTATTGTTCGACAGAACTAATGTCCTAAATATAGGGTTTAATATAAGTGAGGCAAGCAAACTATTAACGCTGCCTGTTTTTCCTTTATTGGGTGGAAGAAGGATTCTTAACATCTAACCTTTTTTATTCGTTTACCCAACATTGTCATGTCGCTGATTTTTGCCTTTTCCTAGTGGGAATATGATTTCAATTTTACCTTTTTTTTTAACTCGATTGAGCCAATATTTCTTCTGTCATACCTGAAACATTTGCTAATTTTCTTTCGCAGGTTTCCACCAATTCCAACATATAAACCAAGTTCCTTACTTCCTCATGCAAGTATATCTACTATGTTCGAGTATAATTCTAAAATACTAACAAATGAAGCGTCAAGAAAAAATTGCATTGGTATCATAAATAAGGTTGAGAGTAGCATGGTTCAATACTTAATAGAAGAATGAAATAATCATGAATATATCAATTGCACATGACATAAATAATCTATATGATAATTGTTCAAATTTTCCCAAAACCCACTCGTAGGTTTATACTGGGTTTGTTGTTGTTATTATTCAAATTTCCTCGAAACAAAGGTGACTTCTCTAGCAGGCAAGGAAACATGTATAAAAAGGATATTAATCTACAATTTAACTGCTATGTTAAAAAAAATTAAAGAATACAACACTTAAATAGGAGTAGTTAGGGGCATGCGTTATTCGGATTAAATCGAAAAACCAAACCAAACAATCGTAGGGGCTGAGTCTTTAACTGAAATATAAGGCCAAGGAGCATAAGGGAAGAGAGCACAACGGTAAAGCTATCAAAGGTGATATCCTAGAGAAGGATTATTAAAGTAGTGTATTTCAACAAGAAGTTATTACACTGCAATAATCTTTTAGATTGCTTCAATCTATTTTACAACAGCGGAATTACCGGGAGAACTTAAATTATCGCGAGGTTCTACAATTGTGATTCAGTAACAAAGACTAGCACAACAATGTGAGACATGGAATCTACCTACCTAGTAGAATTGGATGGTGCCATGGACAAAGGTCGACTGGACCGCACTTTAGATAAATGACGCTCAGGCTGCATTTCTTCCCAACAACCTTAGCAACAAGATCCTTCTCCAGCCAAGGGTTCCGAGTATTCATGTTTTATTATCAACAATCTCCGGAAGGCTCTTCAGTGCCTGTGGTGGGAAAAGAGATTTATACCAACGAAGTGAGAAAGAAAGAAAAGATTATGAAATAATAATTAAACCATGATTTTTACTGCTGACCTGATACAAGTACCAGGAAACAAAGGCATCCGTAGCAGCATAATGTAGTTTTTCCTTAGATAACTCATTAGCCTCCCAATTTCCCAGCCTGATCTTACTTGGCTTCGGGAGCTGCAAGAAAAAGAAAATCTCTGTTGAATCTCACACTTAATTGCAAGAAAAGAAAGAATTCAAATTGAAGAAAAGAAAACTAGAAAGATCTACAGGGAGTAGCAGCATATCATAATTACTCCTAATATAGTAAGACAATTGTCTTTCCAGCAGGACTTTACACTCAAAATATGCACATATTTCCAGCTGATGATATAGCATTTATATTTGGTTTCTTCACTAAACAGTTGCAAGGTTGAAGTTCACTACACGTACTTTAACAAGTCAACTAAGTAAAACTCAGTCGATCGATACAAACAAACTCAGCAGCTACAAAACTGGAATAAAGCAAGAAACCAATCCCCATTTCCCCCTCTGCCCTCCCACCCCCCAGTTCAAGGATCTTAAACGGCAGGAAGGAAAAACACAAAATAAAATAACATAGTAATAGATATGGTTGAAATGGAAACCAAAAGAAAACCTGCTTGGTAAGAAGCTTCTCAGTTAGTGATGCTAGACTCCATTTCTTGGGTTCATCAAGCTTTTTGTTGGCGAGTTCAGAAAGATCTTCCAAAGTCTTTATAGATACATTGTGATCTAGGGAAACTTTGTAAGCATCATTTGCAATGCACACACCCACCTATTGATTAATTGGAACACTAAAAAGTTAAAAACACATATCCTATTATTGTTTGATAAATGTTCCTGAAAAGGGAACAATTGTCAACCTTCACAACTGTTGGATCCTCAAGAAGAGATTGCAGAGTTTGAGGGATTCCAGAGTGAATAATATGCAGAACGTAACAACTACCCATTTCGCCACATATCTGCATAACAGCAGCCTTCCCAGGTGCAACACCTGAAGAAAGAACAAAATAATTATTATGTAATGAGCGATACTGGGGTACAATTTCACAAATAAGGACAATGAAATGAAGTACAAAATCCAACTAATTTAGTATCTGACAACCGAAACAGAAGGTCATGAGGAGTTATATGTGCCTTCTTATACTACAGAGTATGCTTAAGTAACAAAAGTATGAGACACAAGAAGTGAAGCCAAATAGGGAACAAGTGATGCAGAGATCACCTATAATAGCGGTATTTAGCATCCAATAATTATTCTTTTTGAGCATAAAAAGGAATAATCTCTCCGTCAAATATTTTGACAGAAATAAAAATAGAGAAAATAAGTCTTCCTAATCACCATGAGCTACATAGGATTCTTGGTAGATATCCTACTTAAGATGCAGATGTAATCACTAAGGTCTAATGAATTGTCAGTTTTCTATAACCATCTTTGTCATCAGCACCGGAAACCGAGAATCTTCGCTATCAAATTCTATACACTCTGATTCTTCCAAGCAAACGACAATTGATAAAGTGACATGGATATTGAAGATTCATATATCCAGCTCCGACTAGCTTTGGTTGAAGCATAGTAGTTATCGTTGTCGTTGTAGACAACAGCAGATCAAGTAAATTTCCTTAAAATCACGTGAGGAACTATCAAAATTCATCAGGTGTCATAACAAACAATATAAATTTTTGAACCAGTAGGGATGGTACTTCAGAAAAATATTCACAAGTTATAACTTACACATGACAGTCAAAAAATGACACATTCCATTTAACATCACCTCAAATGAAGCTTAGTATAAATAAATTCAAAAGCTAATACATTGAAAGGCTGATAGAACTCAAGAACTCCCATCGTAGTTTGCAAAGTTCAGGCTGAAGTCAAACTATTAACATTGAACTGACCTTTTCTAAAACTGGGCCTCCATTCAATGTCAAATCCAAGAGCAACATGCCCTTCTTTCCTCTTCTTTTCCTCAACAAAATTTAACAGCTCTACTGCAGATTTCTCCACTTCTTTAGTAGTTCTGCTATATATAATACGTCCTTTAAATGATATTTCCGGGTATTGCATCACTATCTTAGCTGCTACATCACAAACAAAAAATAAAAAAGGTAACTTGGACATTAAATCCTTATTTAAAAATAAACAACCGTCTTTAATACACAACACTAACAAACATTATTAATTTTCTCTAAATTTCACAGAACATCAAAATAAGATAGGTAAACTTTGGAGCAATAACCGTATGCCAAACTGTTTACAATGTGCTACAATAGAAATAACATTAGTTCGCTATAAATCATCTCATTAAGGGTTAAATAGATTTTTTCAAAGCTAAATTGCGCTAAATATAGAAATAGGTCATTCTTTATTAGACATACAAAAAATGAAGGCGTGCCACATAAATTGGGATAAAGCAGTATAACTTTATTTCCACTCCGACTAATATTACGTGAGTTTAAGTTATATTCACCTTCATATTAAGAAATCATGTAACACTATTAGGTCACTCAAACGATAACTGCAAATCCAACATCTTACAATGACAGTGTATATCATATTACATTCTACTATAATTATACTAAGTCAAACTACAACATGATTTTTGTTTAATTTTCAACCAAAAATAATTACTCCTCAAAAACATTTAACTACAATGAAAGAAAAAAAGAAAAAGAGAAAAGCCGTTACCTTGAGTAGAAGAACGAAAGGAATAACTACACTGAGACCGACTTCTAGTGCAAGGAGACAAAGAAGACATCGAATTAGTAGTTTCATTTTGAAAGTTAAAAACAAAAAGCGATTCCGGCAATCTCCGGCGACTTTTCCGGCGATATTCATCGCCATCGCCGGCGGAAGATGAGTCTTCGGAATTCTGAAGCCTTTTAGTAGCTGATTGAAATGCGAGATCAATTTCATGGAGTTCTTCTTCTGTAAAAGGTCGATCCCAATCGTTTGATTCGCTAGAAATTGGGGTTTCCATTTTCTTTGTTGCTAAAAAGAGTACATACGAATTTTCTTTACAGCTAAAATAGCGGGCATGTTTGAGCTTTTTGATTACTATTTTTATTAATTACATTGTCGTCCCTAAATGTTTTGTTATGATTTGATTGACACCCAATATAACTTTATAATTACACTTTCCACCCTATACTCTAGTGTTAAGAATTTCAATTTTTTCTTGTGTATTAGAATGAAATAGATCAAAATTGAACAAAATTGGATGTTAAAGATTCATATAATCGAGCTTAATTAGCTTGGGATTTTCTGTAGTTATTATTGTGCACTTACTCTACCTTTGTATTTTAAAGAACGAATATTGATTTTCACTTATTCGTAATGTAATCGGAAATTTCCAACTCATAGGTTAAAAAGTACTGTCGAAATTATAAACACACCGAAAATATATATAAAGAATACATTTAACTAAAGATTTGCAATTAATAGCCGGAAAAAGTACAAACAACATTACAAGTATAACTCAATACTATAAAAATAAAAAAAGTTCACTATATACATAGTCAATAAAGTGTACCATAACTATTTGAGGAAATTTTTGACACATTAGACAATATAACCTTTCTTTCTGGAAGAGAAAAAAACTATTCTAACTATTACAACAACAACAACAACAACAACAATAATTAGATTATACGCTTCAATTCGGAGCAAATTAAGGTCGACTATATGAATCTTCACTGATCATCTGCTCCATTCAAGTTCATAATCTCAGACCAATATTATAGTACAAAATATATATATTTATTATTGTATGTCAAATTATATATGACATACCTCTTACAATTGTTGAATCACATACATTAAATTTAAAATAATTCACTTAATGTGGGGTACTAGCTGCAACAACTTTAAGAATATCTAAAGGAATATGAATAAATTTAACTAAAGCATTACGTGCATTAGCAACCTCTGCAATATGATTATCAACATAATCTTCAACATCAACAGAATTAGCACTTCTCATTGCCTTAAGACGAGGATAACAAACTTCAAAATCTGTTATGGCAGTTGTATAGTACTTAATCGCGTCGTTAAACGCGCCATTAACGGTAGAATCAACAGCATCATTAATTAACTCTATCGCGGGTATGAAATGATCGTTGCAATCACTTAAAGCTTGTTGTGTATCAGACGATAATTGTGCACTATTGTTCAAAAGTTTCAATCTCACTGTAATTGACACATTTGTAGCCTCTTGTTCGATTTTTTTGAGTGCTAAAAATGCTATTGTTTTTAAATCGGCTTTTTGAAGAGAATCGAGGTCTGATTTAGATCTATCTGTTTGAATCCACGAAATACATTCGTTATCGTTATTACATGCTTTGGTAAGATTTGGTGGAGGAATTCGTAAAGGTAGAATTTGAAGTGTTCCTTTGACAATAGGTAATTGAAAGGTGAGACTTAGGCAAAGGAAAAAGGCTAAAGGAATTAATTTGACAAGAAAAGAATTTGACCTCCTTGACATTGAGAAGGAGATCAAGGAGATCAAAGCCATCATTTGTCTTGGTATTTTTTGCTTCTTTTTTCTCTATTTTTCTTCCTTTTTTCAAAATTTACTTGAGTATTATCATTATCTTCTTGTTTTCTCTCATTTATTTATAAGAAAATTAATATTGATAGTTGAAAAAGATTGGTAGAGATAAATGATCTCTCTACCACCCATTTATGAAGAGGTTTGAAGTTTTCTAAGGGTCTAATTTATTCCCTTTTCTTGTTATAAAAATGAACTAATTAAAATAGAAGGATTGTGTTGTATCCATGTATAGTTAGTATAATGACCATTCATTTTTTTAAGATTACTTCCTTTAGGAGAAAAATGTAGAGAATTAATTTTTCTTTGAATTGTGTTGGTTATAAATTATAATAGTCTATTCAATTGGATCACGTTGTATATAGCAGCATTTACCTCTTGACAACAACTAGTTAAGTTAACTACAAAAAGTAAACAAAATTGAATCAGACCTCTCTAATCTCTATAACAGCATCCTTATTTAACAGTCATTCATTCTTAAAACCAAGCTTTTCTCAGAATCAATTTTTATGTTATGTTATAATCTATGTCCTATATAACAGTACTTCTATATAGCATCAAGAAAAATATCGAAACAAACGAGACTATTATAGAGGTTTGAAAAAATATCGGAACAAACGAAACTATTATAGAAATTTGATTGTAGATTATATTCTCAAATCTATTCTTTACCTATTCAAGATAAAGCAAATTCGTGTCTCTCTATGTTATCGATCAATTTACCTATAAATTCATCGAGTATTCAATGTATAGTCGAGCATTTATTAGGGAGCTAAGGCCTGGGCACCTCAACAACAGTGACACATGAATAACTATGTCCACTAAGGCTTGGACAATAAGAAATAATTATTTAGCATTTTATCTCTTGTTTGGGTTCAAAAACTTATTTCCCATGACTTTCACCCACTTCATTGACCGCTATGTCATAATTCAGAGTCTCCAATAAACTGTTTTCTGAGAATTGAATACAAAATGGAATACGCAGAATTATAGGCAGTTGACTAGTTTCTATGTCTATAGTCTTGTAATCAAATGTAACAACATACTACACTTTAACCCTCAAAATGTCATAAGCACCTTATAGACTATGTTGATAACAATCAAAATATCATGAAAGATACTAGGTCATATTATTGAGCTAGCTACAGAATAAAAGGGTAGCCCGCTGCGGGGTCTGGGAAAGATTCGGACCACAAGGGTCTATCGTACGCAGCTTTACCCTGCATCTCTGTAATAGGATGTTTCACAGTTCGAACCTGTCCCCTCCTGGTCACATGACAACAACTTTACTAGTTACGGAATAGTAACTTAAAGCTGAACAAGTTCCCCAAGAGGTAAAAAGGAAAACTCTGTTGGGTGAGAAGTTAATTTATTTCCCAAGTTCACACCAGTACCAAGTAGCAGCCAAATAAGCAGCAGCAAACTCCTAGTCCAAACGGCTAAGGGGTAAGATAAACATCACGTCTGATCTAGCAACAAAACCATAAGAACTACTCATTCTTATGGTATTTCCGCCATCAAGGATAGCAGAGAAACCCTGTTACTCACTCTCAGCATGTCATCAAAAGGAGGATATACCTTTCGAACGAGCTAATAGCATTTGTGTACTATAGGATATCAAGGTAGAAGAAGCTTCTTAGGACTGGATATATCATATTCATGTGTCTCCACTAATAAATATTTCCGCAGCAGCAAAGACAACTGTATGGCTCCGTTCTTCAAAGACTAAGACCAAAAATAACAGTCGCATATAATTCAAGCAAAAGAAGCAAACATTAAATAATAGCTTAAATGAAGAAAATGGATAATATAACATGATATAATAAAAGAATCTTTTCTTCGCCTTTTCCAAAAGGGTGCTTCTGAATGCTAATAGCGTCAAGCAATTTAATAGAAGAATTGAAGAATGAATTGAGTTAAAACGGAGATAATGATGTGTGCTAAAATAACAACCTACTTTCCTCTTTTTGAATATTGTCTAGGTTGCATAGTAAGAAGGCGTATGCTGAGAAGAAATTATTAGTAATGTATAGGCAGATGCCGATCCAGGAAATCTTAATGGCTTAGTCTTACAGGTTTTTAAGACTGAATTCATTGTATATTTGCGATTCTGGGTTCATAAGTTCACATTTATTGTAATTTTCATAGCTTTCACAATACGCTTATGCTGCATGTCAAAAAATACTGGGTTCGGTTGAACCCATAAAACTATGCTACATCCCACAGGGCGTATAGGCAAAAGATAGAGCTAAGAATGTCCACCTAACTCCTGAGCATCTTTGACATCGGGCGTAAAGAAATCTTATAGGATGAAAGAACTACTTCACTATGAGCATAACATCATACAACCTAATCAACGTAAAGGGTAATCGTTCCTAGAGTCCTAAGCATCAAGCCCAAAGTACAATAAGACTATGCAAAAAACATAACATCTTTGGTTAAAAAGAGAAATCCACTGGGTGCAAACAATTTCTGAGAGCCATCGGACTGGGTAAAATCTGAATTAACCGTGGTGTACTTGCAGGAAACTCCTTGCCGAGGGCCTGTGCTCCCCCAGGATTTAGTCGGGGCTCGAAGAGACCCCCGGTGTAAATCAGAAAAGAAAAAAAAAAGAGAGAGAAAGGTGAAAAGAACGAATCCATTTAGATTCTCGTATGAGTTGAGTCCTTAGAGATAATGAGTAGATGAAAATTAAAAAATCTCCAAATTGCCCTGCTCCGCCACTTTTATAGGCCTCGTTGCAGTAACAAGTCTCAATCCTGAACAGAAAATTACATGGATATTTGTGCTTAATGTTTTTTCAATTGCTTTAGCTTAACTGAAATAGCTTTATTATTTCATTCTAAATACAAGCTAGGCATTAAGAAAATAATTATCTTTCGGTAAGTATTATGAGAAGTAATTATCCAATAAGCTTAATATGCTACAGCTTCTAAAGCAGTCGATGCAAGAGCTATGAGTAAGCCATTTTCTGACCAACAAGGAACCTAGTATGAAACAAGTTTACGCAAAACACAGAGCATACGAACCTCAACGTAATCCAAAAATCTCTTCCGGAGGATCATATATATGCCGATCAGGAAAAATCTCCTCAAAGTCTTGCTTAACTCTGTTCCTTAATAGGGGATGTGGCAAAAGTCCCTTCAATAAAATCCTGAAAGGCAGCTCCTCGGGAGGATACGGAGACTTTTTCATGTCCTCGAAAATGTTCATAGCATCTGCAGGAGATCCGTCTCTCAAGAAGCCACGAATAACTTCAGTGAATGTCTGACAATCGGGAAATAGATCTTCCTTTCTCATGCTCTCCCATAACTTCATTGCATCATCCATCTTTCTACGTCTAGCCAATGCAATGATCAGGTCCTTGTAAAGATAGACATCGGGTTGGTACCAGTCTTGCTTCTGAATCACCCAAAACACCTGAAGTACAAACAATTAGTTGTTTATGCTATTGCCGTTCCACATGCCAACCGACACATAAATAGCAAATACATAGCATATGAGAATAAATAGAAAATACACCTCGATAAGAATAAAATTTACTGAAAATTAAATAGGCTCAAACAGATATCCAACAGCAACAGCATAAATTTAACCATGTTTTGCCCCATTTGGCCATTCTTTGCGGGAGACCAGCTCGGGTACACTATCCAACAATTATCAACACGAAAACCCATGAGGATGGATTTTGTAGAACGATGTTATAGCAACATTGCATTAACATGACAAATTCAATAGAATCCATAATCTCCCCTTTACCATACCTGGACATAAAGATTGAATCATTTCTATCTCCTCCCTGCAATATTGTCAAAGGCGCGCTTTAAGCACGCTTAAGCCCGGAAGCGAAGCTCAAAACATGTCGAGCGCTTCGTCTCGCTTTGTGGGTGCTTTAGTATCGCATCAAAGCTCTAAGGCATGCTATTCCTTGCCAATGAGTGTAATCATGAAAAGGCGACATTAAACAATTGATATTTCACTTTATCATAATTTTTTTTTCAATTTATTTGTCCGTATATTTGTTATTCATGCTTATAATTATTTGTCTTGGACTACATATACATATTTTTTACTTTTTCTTCAGTTGCGCATTTTTTCATTAAAATTTAAAACCCATGCTTTATTTGCGCTTTGCGCTTAAAGCCCCAACGGACCTTAGAGGTTTTTTGCGCTTTTCGCCTTTGATAACACTGTCTCCCTGTCTCTCTTTCCTTCTTTTTTTTTCATAAAGTAATTTTATTAATAAAGGAAAGATTTTCTACAAGCAGTACATCAAAAAGTAAAGAATCTACAAAAGAATACGAGTCTCTACAAACAACAACAAATCTTCTGTACAAGCTAGAAACAGAGGTGTGCAGCAAAAACTATGCATGAGAAGCTATTCCTCTTTCACTGTATCGAACATCATAATTGTAGCCCCAACAAAATCACTACCTCCCACCACAATTGAGTTGCCACCTGCCAATTTAGGAGAAGGTGGTCCACATCTTTACCCGAACATTTGATCATAAAGCACCTACTGGCATATGTAATCCTCCGTTTTTCTCAAACTTACAGCTGTCAAGATGGCTCCTCTCTCTTTTCTTTTAAATAAAGGTTCTACTTGCGTAAGTCTATTGAATCACAAAGCATTAGAAGAATTAAATTGGGGTCATACTTCCTCTAACATAGCTCCTCAAATCTACATCCACAGCTACATCTACTGAAGCTTCACTTCCAAATTAACATAGAAGGTAAGTTTCACAAGAAATTTAGTTTAAAACAAAGGAAAAATGACATAACACTATTATTTATTATCTACTATAAACAACTTCTCCTTTGTCCGACTCTCATCACCATAAGCCTTGGCTATAAACTCGATTATCGTGAAACAATGCAAATTTTATCTCATCCCAGTAAACTAACGCAACTAGATGACCATAACTAAACTTTCTACAGTACCTAAACACTAAAAGGGAACAAAGAAAGATTGGAGCTTTGCATTATTATAATAATTGCAATATCAATAACTTCCTCCAATACTATTTTGAGTTCAAATCCCGGTGAAGCCAAAACACTAGGTGATTTCTTCCCAGCTGTCTAAGCCTTGGTGGATAAAGTTACTCAATACATGTGGCTGGTGGGAGGTATCTGCGGAATTAGTCGAGGTGCCCGCTGCCCATACACTACTATTATTAAACAATTCTTCCTCTATTACTATATGCAACAATAAACTTCCTCTATTACTATCTTGATTTCAAATCCCAGTGGAGCCAAAACACTAGGTGATTTCTTCCTAGCTGTCCAAGCCTAGGTGGATAAAGTTACTCAATACATGTGGCTGGTGGGAGGTACCCGTAGAACTAGTCCAGGTGCGCTGCCCGGATAGCATAAAGAGCCCGGTGCACTAAGCTCCCGCGCATGGGATCCGGAGAAAGGCCAGACCACAGTTGTCAAAAAAAAAAAATCTTCCTCTATTACTAAATGCAACAATAAATTTTTGGAACAGAAAATGCAAAATAGTAAAAGCCACAATGAATTGCAGTTAAAAAAGCTAACCTTAACAGCAAGAGAGACCTCTTCTTGTCTTTCAAGTTCATTAAGGACAGCAATCAAGTCCATTTTTAAAAGCCTAAGTACATGTGTTTTAACAAACTTATCAAGCTTTTCTTCATCATCTTTGAATCTTTTTAACCCAAGTATCACAAATATTGCTTCTTTTCCTAATAATTTTTTACCCCTCCAAAGTGGTCCTCTTGGTCTTCCATCATGGTAAAATCTCACAACCCCTAAG